CCCTCAGATTTTTTTTTCTTCTCTCATCACACTGGAAGATGATCTACTTATTAACATACTGGTTTGACACCTTAAAAATCACAAATTGTCAATTTCCTCATATTTGTTTCTAAGAAATGTTATTCATTGTAAATAAATAGTGGGTAAAGGAGATGTTTTCCAAAAATCTTAAGAATCTAGCATTTCTTACCCCAAATTTATCCCTCACTCTGGATTTCTGCCCCCAATATTTGAGTTATTCTCCTCTCCATACCCAAAAGAGGTTATTTTTAAATTGCAGTTTTATCCAAAAAGCATTTTTCACAAAATGCCTTGGAAGGTCCTGCACTTTCTCTGTCAGCTCGAGAACTGTCCCTCAGCCACACCCCCTCAGTCTGGGAATTTATTTTAGTCTCTGCAAAAGTCACATGTTTTCTTTTGATGAAGTCATCAGAATATTTTGCTTCCAAGCCCCTGATCCTATTTTCTTGAGGAAGTTTTGGTCTTGCTGTGATCTTCCAGAGGCAGAAATGTGGGTACTGGTTGGAAGGTCAGACCTTTTCCTTTAGCCCTAGATGGTTTGGCTCAGTGGATAGAGCACTGGCCTGCAGACTGAAGGGTCCCTGGTACCATTCCCGGTCAAGGGCACATGCCCAGGTTGTGGGCTCGATCCCCAGTAGGGGGTGTGCAGGAGGCAGCCAATCAATGATTCTCTCTCATCATTGATGTTTCTCTCGCTCCCTCTCCCTTCCTCTCTGAAATCAATGAAAAATAAATGTTTCCTTTTCCTTTAAAATGTGTATTCTAAGGAGGGATGGGAAGCCTTTGGGAAAAGGGAATCACGGGCTCAGTTTGATGTTGTGCCAAGATCACTCTGGCTTCTCCAAGCAGCACAGGTCACAGGGAACACAGCTGGAAGCAGGGACCAGTGCTTGTCATCACAGCAGCCCAGTCCTATTACGTCTTCATTCCCTTTCTCTTCAGTGAATGAGAACACACACACACACACACACACACACGCACACCAAAACCAGTGCATTTCCTCCAACAAGTGAACTGTGTTGCCCATCCCCGTACCAAGGCCGCCCGTGGCCTCTCTGTAGGCAAAGTCCTGCGGCTCGGCCCCCATCATGCAGCGCTCGCGCCTGGCCTGGGTGAGGAAGAGCTGCTTCCACGAGGGCACCTGCAGGCCCTCCCAGGAGATGCTCCATCTCCTCTGACACAGGTTTCTGGAAAGAGTCACAGCACCGTCAGGTGGCCAGGCCCCTGGGCCTCACTGGCACCACCTTTTCCTGCTGCAGCCTCCTCTGAGGCCTCTCCCCGCCCAGCCACCCGCCCCCAGGCCTCCGCTCAAACCCCAGGGACACCATATTTTACATAATCTCAGCTTTGGAAATCAGCACCACTTGGAAGCACCACATGGCTAATTTACCAGGATATACTGATTTTCACCGAGGACTGCCATTCTTAGTTCAAGGCCAATGTAAATACAATTTAGGTATCTAATCATGAGTTTGAAAGCTTCTGAAGAATTACCTGGGGAGATAAGGAAAATGCAGATTTCTGTAGGTCTGAGATGGGGGCTGGGACTTTGTATTTCCCGCCTGCCCTCACCTCCACAGGTGCTCCTCATCCGCGATGTTCTTCCAGTACTTGAGAGAGAGAAGGAGGAGAGAAGCAGTCAATTGGTACCCAAACGTGGGCCCCTCCTTCACTATCATTTGTCCCCGGAGCAAGGCCCACTGGGAGGTAACAGGCCACCAACCCGGCTCTCAAAGCCTCCCAGGTGGGGCCCATGGGACATGGTGGCAGCAGAGGCAGTCACTGCTGGGACAGGGGCCTCCTGGGAGGTTCAGAGGGACTCCTGGGCTGGACATGGGGCTTCGAGAACCATCCGTCAGCACAAGGATTCCTGTGCATCCTGTTGTTTTCACTGAACAAAATAGGAGGCTGTCAGAGTGAAGGATGCT